AAAAATGGAGGAGCTGGATCGGTCATCATGCTGCAAGATGAGACCACAGTAGAAATGTCATGCGCCTCCGGAAGACTCTCAACAAACTTTAGAGCAGAGCAGCAAGCAATTATTGATTCAGCCAAAGTGCTCGAGGAAAGAAAAATTAAAAACAGCAAATTTTTTTTCCTTTGTGACTGCATGTCAGTCCTCCAGGCGACTCATAGGGATCCACGAGACAACATGGAAAGAAAACTGACCCGTCAGCTAAACAGACTCACAGAAAACAATCAAATCGTTCTCCAGTGGATCCCGGCTCACTGCGACATACCAGGAAATGAGTTAGCAGATAGGCTTGCAAAAAATTGAACAAAGGAGAAACGTCATGCCGATTGATTGTCATTACCAGAAATCAGAACACTTATCAAAGGAGAATACAGGGGATTGTGGAGAGAACAAACTAACAGTAAACATCCACAAGACCCCATCAGCAGACTCATCAGAAGGCAACATACAACAATTTTCCGTCTACGAACAGGACACTGCAGGCTCAACTACCACATCATAAAATAAAGATTGTACAGTCCCCCCAGTGTGCCTGTCAAACAGGACCCCAAACACCTCAGCACATTCTGCAGACCTACCCACTCTACCTGCAACTTCGAAAAGACACCTGGCCTCAAGAGCAGAGTGTGCAGAGCAAGCTATGGAGAACCATGCAGGACCTGCAGCTGACATGCGAGTTCATAGAGGCAACCCACCTGATAGTCTGATCTGAGCATACGAAACCGAACGCAAAGAAGAAGAAGAAGAACCTGAACGTAGCATTTTTAACAATCCAGCTAGCCGCTGGTGAGAAAAATGAGTTTACTTGTGCCCCATATTTATCGCCCACTGGCTCACCGGCAGACGACTTTGTCGCCAGTCTGGACAGTATTTGGGGCTGTCTCCTCTGATCACATCAACACTGCAGGAGTCCATTTCAGGTCTTTCCTTGCTATTTTAAATGGCGCACAAAATCTAGTCACAATTATAACCTAAAGCACCCCTTCGGGGATGCTGGTTGAACGCGACAATTTTTTTTTTAAATCTCTCTAAAAAACTGATGATGATGAAAACGTTAGGGCGACATAAAGCAGAGGGGCGTGTGGTACTGCGATTGACGACCGATTGAAATGATTTTGTTTTCAATTTCAAAAAAAGCCTCTTAGGCCGTCAAATATTCTGCCTGTTTAAACCTCTCACAGATATCCGGTTGTCACTCCAATGGGTGCTTTAGAGTTGGCTGGCTAAATCTTTCTGAGATCCTAAATGGGAAATAGTGTGCTGCGTGTTAATTACGGGTAGATGAGTTAACTTTCCTACAGCACGAATCTCTGTGGTGGCACAGTGTCTAAAACGCTAACATACCAGCCTAGTCGTTTCAAGTTTCATATCCCCGCCAACTAGAGATATTTTGGGATGGGTTAGCGCGGTGGCTAGAGGATCCACTGTTGGTTGGTCCGGTCTTAGGTTCAATTCCCGATGGAGACGGATTTTTTTTAAATCGAACAAGGCCTCACAGGTGAACATAGATTAATATGAATGCCAGGAAGTGTCCGTGGTAGTAAAGGCGGTCGTTGAGATGTTCATCTCATCGCCAGACTGGTGCCAAATGGTCTGTTAACACGAGGATCTAGCCGATAGTAGTTTCACATTTTTGCCTGCCAGCAATATAGCCAAGATTTTGTTAAAAGGATTGATCTCATACATTACTATCCCATGTGGCTCGGTCTCTCTCCGTAGAACGGCTAGCATAAAGCAGGAACACTTTAATTCCAGCTATGATTCCCAGAGGTCTCCGTAAAAATTTCATCTTTAAACTGAATTACACAGCTGTGAAACGAGCATATGATCTTCAAAGAGGGAGGAATCCGGCCTGACCACTTTGCCGCCCTGCATGATGTCATGGGAGCCGCCGTGGTCTGGCGGCTAGACGCTCGCCTGCTGATTGGAAGGTCGTGGGTTCGGTTCTTGACGGGGGCCGGATTTTTTTTTTTTTCAGAAATGGCCTTGGCTCCCGAGGTCGACCCAGCCTTGAGTGTGTACCAGGTAGAGTCCTAGGAAGTGAAGGCGGCCGGCGTGATACTGATCACATCACCCACCAAGTCTCGTTTGGTATACAAAATATAGGTCTAGCTCTATCTATCTAATACGCCTAAATGGCGTTTAAAAGGGTACTTTACTTTTGGTATTTGATGCCCTTTACCTAAACATGATTTTGCTGTGCCATCTCTCCCTGCACGGTGTAATACTTTCTATCCCTACAGGATGTTATGCTCTCCGCCAGCAACAACCAGTCGCCTCTTGCTCCCATGTCGTCGATGTTCACCATGCCATCGGTGTCGCTGCCACACATCTCGCTGTCCAGCAATGTCCTCGGACTGGCTGACCAGTTCTTCATGTCTGTGCCATCGGTCGCTGACACGGCGACCACACCGTCATCTTCAGAGTCCAGTAAATCTGACCTAACAAGTAAGACACTAGACAGCTGTACACCCAATAAGATGTTTGCTCGAAAATACAAAACAAACAAACAAAAACCAATTAAAACAATTTGAACATCATGGGAAAACTGGCTCGTAGACATGTTGTCTTCAAAACTGAAATATTATTGCTGTATCAAACTCACAATGGCTTTGAACGAAAATGGGCTGGGGCGTGACTGTGGGTAAAAGAGATATGCCCACGAGTGTGGGCACAGAGCAGTTGGTTAAGAAACACAGTAAACATGAAAATAAATAAGCCTTGAGAGAGCTGGCGAGAGACCGATGTTCTGTCAAACAGGTTGTAGTTCGTGGGGGGGGGGGGGAATAGGGGGGGGGGGTGTTCTACCTGAAGTTGATGTCAGTTCCTGAGAAAGGACATTGGATTTATAATTTATTGGACTCTAGAACCATGCACCAGATACCAAGCTTATGGGAACCACCCAGCTATCTGTCTGCAGTACAGATATCAAGACCATTGCATTTTTCGCAATGGTATGGACATGTAATCAAATCTAACTGCCTCTCAAAAATCAATACTGCAGGGCTCAGTAGAGGGAAAGAGAAGAAGAGGAAGACCAAGAAAGACCTGGTTACAGAACCTGACTGGCTAAACAGGCCTTAGGCATGCAACCATGAAGTCAATCGCAACTGACCGCCAAAGGTGGAGAAAGCTGATCAGACAGTCGATAGAACCTGGTGACCCAACGAAACGTTGGGTTACGGGATGATAATAGTATAAGTGGGGTCTTTCATATGGAGCCGGACTTTTTTTTAAACATGACCTTGGCTCCCAGGTCGACCCAGCCTTGAGTGGGTACCGGGTGCAGTCCCGGGAAAGTAAAGGCGGCCGGCGTGATACAATCTTGTGCCGATTGGTCTATAAAAATATAGGTCTAGCCCTATATGCCCTATACACCTTAAGGCGTGGAATAGGGTCCTTTACTTTACTTTTTTACTTTTAATTTCATATATTTTACTCAGAGATTAGTTAATTAATTTTTGTAGTTAATGATGAATCGTTTTTAGTAATTGTCAATGTTTCTGATAAAATACAGCAGTACTGATTCTATGTAATATTCTTTGTGTGTATACAGGGGTGACGTTAGCGCAGTCGATAAGAGGCTCGCTTTCAAATCCAGCTGCGACTCGCTGCAGCCCATGGCCGGTGTTTGAAACCGGGCGGTTCCCTGGGTTCACCCAGCCTCTAGGAAATGGGTACCAGAGTTTACACTCTGGGGTAAATGGAGGAACGTCGCTGTAGCTACAGAGTTACGTGCGAACGGCGACACAGGCGGACAATTCTTATCAGCTGTCCTTGCTAGTGGCAGAGCACTTATGGTTTATAACCGTGTGCAATGACGCTGGTTCACATCTCCCGACTTTACGTTTACCTTTTGTGTGTATACAGAAAGTAATAGCTGACTGGTCTTCAGTCTTAACATGTTTTTTTATTTTTTTTTTATTTATCTTCTTTATTTATTGTTTTCATCGAAACCAATATTTTTATTTGATAATTTTATTTCAGCTGAACCAGAATTCATAGAACATTAATTTTTTCTTACATTCTTTTCTCACATTGGTCATCATGTCTATTCACAGCCTTCTGTCTAGTGTGTTGTCAGTCATTTATGATAGATATCCTTGACTCCGATTCTATGAGGCCTAAATGTCTATCATCATCGCTGTTGGTCCCGTCTACCTCCATATCAACATTTTTTCTGTGGTCACATCATCATCATGTAGCAGGTCCTTTGCAGAACATTGATCTCATCACGGTCTGCCTGAAAGAAGCTTGGTCTCTGGCCAGCTCTCCCGCCTCATGTACTTTCATATTCTAGGCATCACTTATATCCTGTGTCCATCTTCGTGTTGGTCGACCGCTGCCCCTCCTTCCTGGTACCATGCCTGCTGCTATTTGTGTTAAGTCCACCATGGCACTTGATATGATCAAAATATTTCAGCTTCCAAGGCAAGATGCTGTTTATAAGCCAATCTTCCTTGATGTTCATATCTTTTGTTGTTGTCACACATAATTCACTTCTCCTCTTCTCATGACATACCTTAAGCACATGGACATATTTGTCCTGATGCATGTAATCAGTTCTATATGTGAGCTGATATATTTCCAGCCAGCTTCATTACACTTTTATCTGTTCGTGACATTCCTGTCATTCTTATTTGAAACCACATCTCTGCTACTTCCACATCATTTCTCATTAATCTGCCGATGGTCCATAATTCACTTGAATATCTGTAACTAACTGTAGAAATGTACATATAATTATGAATAACATAATGCCACTTCAGTTGTGACTTTGCTCACAAACATTAAAACTTGTTAATGTTGTCCCCCTTCCCCTCTTCCCTTATTTGTGAGCTAATATTCCAGCACTCCGTTGTCATATAATCAGAGAAGGAAACTGAGTTGACGACATTTATTGTGTCATAATTTTAATTTCATTTATGTAAAGGATTGTTTCTGTTTTTATTTAGGCTCACTGTCTTCCTTGTCAAACCAATCTCAGCTGCTAGCACAACGGCAAGCTTCATCGCAGTTTTTTATTGCAAGCCAAACTTCTGCATCTGCAGGACAATCTGCCGGACAATCGGTTTCTGTGCAACACATCCTCATCCCAATTTCAACAGGTGCTTTTTTTTTTTCTCTCATAATTATCTCAGTGTTGGCTCTGCAAGACTTGGGTTCTAATCAATACTGAGTTATTTTTAATACAATGACCTTCGCTTCCAGTCAAGCCAGCCTGTATCAGGAATATCCTTGAAGGTGAAGGATCTTCATGTTTTGACCACATCCCCCATCAAGTACCCGACTGGTTTATACAAATATAAGACTATCATCATATGCCTAACTAGCCAATGGTACCATAGGGACCCTTTAATTGACTTACTAGTACCCCCAAGAAATGGCAATGAGCTAGTGGGTTATTAAACAAGTAAGGCAACAAAGCATGTGTGAAGAAGCATGGACAGAGCTCATACCATCACTGCTGTAGAGGCAATACTGGTGGATAATAATGAATCTCTGACACTAATATGGCTGCATGACCTGGCAGTCAAGCAAGTGAAGCATATCGATGTCAAGATATGAGACATTATAAATATCTTCTTATGGAAACAATCAGTAAAGACACCTTTGATTGGCTACTGCATCAGAGCACTGAGCCCGCCTGGGAATGCTAAATGTACAGTGTCTTCAGTGTTGAAAATATTAATATTTAAACAAATTCTTCTTCTTCTTTTTCCCCTTCATCTTCTGCGTCTTCTTCTTCTTCTTCTCTAGTCATGTTTTTCTTTATGACGTCAGGTTTTGAAGAGGTATCATGTGTCTTGACACTGGTATTCACAACCTCGGACACTCCATCCATCTATCCCTTGTATGGTCGACCTCTAGATCCACCCCAATTGTGTCTGAATGACAGGGCTCTCTGTGGTACAATCACTGTTGGTTGTCTTGACAAATGTATGAAACATCTGATCTGATGTCTTGATTTAAGACCTGAGATTGAGGAGGGGTGAGTGGAGACCAAGAGTAAGGATTTAAGACATGTTTTAAGATTACTAACATATTACACTACTACAAAATTGAAACACCTGTGGATATTTGAGTAAAGGTAAAAGAAGCTGTAAAGAATCACACCCCAATCACACTGGACTGCAGACTCATTCATAACCACTTTTTGGTGTCACTGAGCCTCATTACTATAAGGCTGAATGGTGTTTTCTGGATGTGTACCCATTTGCTCCTCATCCTTGAGACAAATTAATCATTTAGATTGCAATCCTGGAGGGAGAAAAAACGGTGTTTATATATATATATATATATATATATATATATATATATATGTGTGTGTGTGTGTGTGTGTGCGTGCGCGTGCGTGTGCCGTGTGCCGTGTGCGTGTGTGTGCGTGTGCGTGTGCGTGTGCGTGCGTGCGTGCGTGCGTGGGTGGGTGGGTGGGTGGGTGTGGGTGGGTGTGTGGGTGTGGGTGTGTGGGTGTGTGTGTGGGTGGGTGTGTGTGTGTGTGTGTATATATATATATATATATATAATAATCAACACAGAATTTACTGCAGTTAAGGTATCAAATGTTAGTCTTCACATATTCTGTGCTACCCGTAGAAGGTGGGATGGCCTGTGCCTTTATTCACTACAAACGGGTAACATTTATTAATTGTTTGCTTTGTAAAATCCTATATATATAATATGCAGTCCTTCTGTTTGTTACTTTTAGAAGTTACTAAAGGACCAGTTTCCATGTCTTCACGTGCATTGGTATGCACTGTGCTAGCTTCACAGTTATATAGGCCAGTGTCTGTCATTATTGTGGTCCTTAAAACAAATTGATTTAGTCAGATGAAATTTTTTAAAACAACAACAACAACACCTCAGCTTTAGAATTAAATCAATTTTGCAGTTCTAGTAAAATAAGCCTTCCGCTGGATCTATACCCGTTGTTAAAGTTTCAGTGTAGCTCCATGTGGTAGATCAACGAACGTTACATCTTCCCTCAACACTTCACTGAGATACAAGGTGGGAGAAAAGAAGAAGTAAAGTAAAGGGCCCTTTTCCATGCCTTTAGACATATAGGGATAGACCTGTATTTCATAGACCAATCAGCAGTTGGTGGGTGATAGGGTTAACATCATGTCAGCTGACTTTACTTCTCAGAACTTTACCTGATACCTGTTCAGATCTGGGTCGACCTAGGAGCCAAGTCATTTTTTTGAAGTACGGCTTTGTCAGGACCTGAAAACACAACCAGCTACTATACCACATCTAGCCACTACACCACAAAGGCTCCCTATTTTGTGATTCTAATATTTATAAATTATAATATGTTTCTACATAAGGAGATAGCATATCAGATGGTTTGGACATGTGTCAAGACTGCTACCAGATTGCCCCCTTTCACTAAGACATAACAGAAGAAGAGTTAGAGGTCAGCCATGCAAGAGATTGATAGATGGAATATCTGAG